TAGTTGAAACTCACCACTACTGCTTATGAAAAAAAAAATTAAAAAAATGAAACAAATGAAGTGTATGTCCAAGTACTACTCTTTTAGGAAGCAACACCAGAGCATTCTGGGATTATAAGCATCTTCTGTGTTGGCCACACGTGGTTTTTGGAGTGAAGTGCTATGGGTTCTGCTCCAAAAATGAGTACAGATAATTCTCAATTTACAACAGTTCATTTAATGACTGTGCAAAGTTACAATGGCACTGAAAAAAGTGACTTATGACTTTTTTTTCACGTTTACAACCGTTGCAGCATCCTCATGGTCACATGATCAAAATTTGGACACTTGGCAAACTGACTCGTATTTATGACCGTTGCAGTGTCCCGGGATCATATGATCACCTTTTGTGATCTTCTGACAAGCAAAGTCAACGGGGAAGCCAGATTCACTTAACAACCATGTTACTAACTTAACTTAGTTGTTAAGTGATTCACTTAATAACTGTGACAAAAAGGTTGAAAAACGGGGCAAAACTAAATAAATGACCCACTTAGCAATATAAATTTTGGGCTCAGTTGTGGTCATAAGTCAAGGGCTAGCTCAGTGATGGCGAACCTTTTAGAGACCGAGTACCCAAACTGCAACCCAAAACCCACTTATGCATCGTCGAGTGCCGAGTGAGTGTGGCCCATTGGCTGGGTGTGGCCAGTTGGGTGGGCGTGGCTGTGGTGGTAACGGCAGACTGGGTGGGACTAAAAAGTTCAATCAATCAATTTCAACTTTGCAAGATCTTTTTTTCCCCGCGAGAAGTTGAAATTGACTGATTGAACCTTTTTTTTTTTTTTTGCACACGGCGGCGGAGGCCTAAAGCGAAAAGGTTTTATAAAACCCAGCTGAAGGCCTAGGATTGGGGTGATGGCGCATGTGCCCACAGAGAGGGCTCTGAGTGCCACCTCTGGCATCCGTGCCATAGGTTCGCCACCACTGGGCTAGCTGTAGATGGGACCAGAACAAAATTTCATTTTGTTTAATTGAAATTAAGTCATGGATTTACTGTTTTTCCTCTACTGTCACGCTAGAAACACTAATTTGGTAACCACTTCTGGAGGTCTTTGGAGGATGTAATCAAGATTAAGACCTCGGGTTATGCATTTCTGCTCTATGACACATGATTATGACATTATTGTAAGATTTGAGTAGCTGCCATAAATTTAGATTGTTAGCCTGTGAACAGGGATTTTCTTCTTTTGCTTAATTACTGTAAGCCCCTCTGGGAACCAGAGCAGAAATGTAGAATAAACAAACACGGTTTTGCAGGGACCACACAGGGCGTAGCTGCAGATGAACAAAGTACTTGAAAGTTACTAACGAGGAAAAACTCTTTGCAGAAATCATAATTATATCCTTTGCAAATTTCCCCCAGCGTGAACCATTGGTCGCTGTCGATATGGAAAAACTGGCTCAGCTTGTATTCCAATGATTAAAAAAAACAACTTGGGGAGCAGATGGTAAAATGCATGTTAACATTCTGTCCAGCTGTTAATGAATTTAGTTAGCATTCATTAGCAGACTGGTAGTTATATGAATCACCCTCAACCTTACAGGGCGAATGTCTAATTGCACCTTTGTAGGGTGATGAGGTAAAGGAAGTAATGGGATGTTGCTAACTCCACTGCCTTGTATTTCAGGGAAGAAGAGATAGGTGTGTCCTTCCAATGATTCCTCCCTTGCATTAAGAAGCCAAATGTAGGGCATGCAGTAAACATCCCGCATTGAAGTGGCTTGCCTTCGCTTTGAAGGCAGGGTGACACTGTTCTAGCTGAAACACCCTTTTGATAAGTGGTGAAGATAAGAAAGGTAAACATGTACTGGTGGCAGTATGGGGGCAAGGATCAGTGCCTGAGAAGGGAAAAGGGGACAAATGGACAGTAGTATTTCAGAGTTACTCTGTGTGTGTGTGTGTGTATTCCTGGGGAATGGCTTGCTAAGGGCTGGTGCAGGAAGAAAAGGTAGCCATATTTGGTAGATAATGCAGACCTGAACACCACTATGCTTTACGGACTCCATCATTTACCCTTATCCCCTACTGCAGGGGTCCTCAAACTTGGCCACTTTAAGACTTGTGGACTTCAACATAGCTGACTAGGGAATTCTGGGATTTGAAGTCCACTAGTCGTAAAGTTGCCAAGGTGGACACCCCTGCCCTGGCCATCCACAGTGCCATTTGTGTCTCCCGGAATCTTTCTGTTCTACTGCTTTTTAATTTGGTGGAAAAGTTCAGAAGCAAAACTAGTGCCTTAAATCTAGTAAAAGCTTCAAACATCCTTCCCTTTTCTTACACACACACACTCCCAATTAAAAGTTTCATGAATCCCATGAAATTGGGCAGAGGTTTCTCATGGGTCAGTTTGGGAAAGTTGTCTTTTCAAGTAGTCACCTTTTGGCTCTAGATATTTTAATGTGTTTTAGTGTTTGGAGTGTTGCATTTAACCCCTTTGGGATTTAAACTATGCCAATGGTTTCGGGCACCAGGGACCGGTTCCGTAGAGAGAGGGTTTTCCACAGTCTGGAGATTTCACATACTGCCTGCATCCCGTGGATGGGGCTTTGCTTGTTTGCGCGGACCGGTTTCTGGCATGCTGTGAACCAGTGCCAGTTCATGGACCAGGGGTTGAGGACCCTTGAACTATACCACTCTTTTGAATGACATATTGATTAGCAGGAAACCTTTATTTCAACATTCAGTAAAAGTCTTTAAAGAAAAGAAGAAATAGGGGAGACATGATAGCAGTATTCCAGTATCTGAGGGGCTGCCACAAAGAAGAGGGGGTCAGGTTCTTCACCAAAGCACCAGAGGGAAGGACGAGAAACAATGGTTGGAAGCTGATCAAAGAGAGAAGCAACCTGGAATTAAGGAGAAACTTCCTGACAGTGAGGACAATCAACCAGTGGAACAGCTTGCCTCCAGAAATCATGGGCGCTCCATCGCTGGAGGTTTTTAAGAAGAGACTGGACAATCACCTGTCTGAGATGGTGTAGGTCCTCTTGCTTGAGCAGGGGCTGGACTAGAAGACCTCCAAGGTCCCTTCCAGCTCTATTCTATTCTATTCTATTCTATTCTATTCTATTCTATTCTATTCTATTCTATTCTATTCTTATTAATATTAGAGCATGGATATTTTTTTTAAAAAAGATCCTCTATCATATTAAAATAAATTATATCCAAGACGTCAAGAGCCTCAATCATACCAGAATCACAGTCGTACAACATAGTTTGACTTGACTGCACCTAAATCTACCCATGACATTTTCAGTTTGTTTACTTTTTCTTTAAAAATCCTCTTGGGAAGCTAACAACTGACTAGTATTGATATATTAATAAAGACTTTTCAGCGAATGAGAAAGCAAATAATGAGATTTTATCTATTTCTCAGCTGGAACTATTTGACCTTGTCTGCTTTACAAGAAACCACATTTGCATCTTGCAAAGTCCGAGAGAAACTTGTCATCCTGTCCAAGTGATACATTTTCCAAATGAGCTTTGTGTGGCTTTCAACAAATCTAATCAGAACAAGCAGCTGAACGACACCTTATGACAAGGGCAACACGGCTGGGTTTGCCTTTGAGTTGCTTGTCATTGGACTCCCCCTTTTTCTACTCCTGTTTGTTCAATAGATGGAAAGGGAGTAGTGGAAAACGGCTCCTTTTCTGCATCGTCCAAGAAACGGTGTCGGTTACAGAACTACTATCCCAAATATTTCTTTTTTGATTCTTTATTTTTATGTGATGAATTTCCTTGAAGCCCTTACTCTTGCTGAACATAGGATCCCAACTTTGCCTACCACATTGTCAAAGAACAGGGGTTTCACTAGCATGGGGTAAAATGCCCACTTTTCCCAATAAAAATGTCTTTGTTTTCAGAATTCCCTTTTTATTGTTCTTATTTTAGCTAATTTTAATGATTAAAGACAAGACAGTTCTTATCAATATCATTAAAATTATAAATAAATGAGAGATAACTGGGACCACCGCAAGTCCAGTTTTCTTCTAAACCCCCACCTCTCTCCCCAAAGTACCACCATATAATAAGAATTAACAGATTATTATTTTAATTCTGCCTCCAAACCCCTGAAGTGTTTGCATTCTTGAATGTACAGTACTGTGTGGATTCTTGCTTAGGGTGTTTGACATCTGGTTCTAGTTGGTAAAATGTAGGTTCCATGGGAAGGGGAGTTGGGTAGGGAGAAGACAAAAAAATAATAATTCCTCAACCCTGAAAACTGTCCAATCTGTCCTGGCTCACTTTTTAATTATTCCATAGACAACTAATCCCCCATAACAATAGCTTGTTGAGTCTTTTCCAGTGCCATTCTCTTCTGTGCACTAACTTACTTGATAATATTGGCTCAAAAAATCATACTCTATGTCACTCAGGAGCTGCTCTTCCTTAGTTTAGAAAAGACTAACTGAACAGGCCAGGGAAACCTGAGGATTGGTGGGGAACAACTTGGGACCCACATGAAAGGGGAGCATGATTAGAACTGATGGGAGGAAAGGCTGCCTATTCTTTCACACAGAAACCTACACAACTTTTCTTCTGGCCAAATGATCTCGGATCTTGATTCTCCCACTCCCATTCTTTCACACAGTGAATAAAGAGGCATAAAATAGGCTTGGAATTACCCTATTGTGGTCCTGTTTTCATTGGGTTGGTGTCGAGATCACTTCAGGTCTGTTCCTGATGTGTTTGCAGCAATACAGTGCCTGCACTGGAAATGACATTGTGTGTTGCAGATATTAACTGCATTGTACGACTCTCCCATCTTTGGCACAATCTAGGTCCCGTTAGGTGTTCCCATGTAAAACTGAAGACACTTAATCCGTATCAACATTCACTGAATGTAAACATTATCTTCAGTGGAGGAATGATGATGCCAGAAAGTGCCATATGGTGTTTGTTGCTCATGTGGTGACATTGGCATGGCTTGGAGAACAGGCTAGATCAGGGCAAATAAATAGACTTACACATCTTTATTATTCCAGGAAAAAGCACATCCTAAAAACATATTACAGGTTTGTACTTCAGCATAAACAACAAGGTCCAAGTCCAAATTGGAAGGTGAGAGGGACCTCTAATGTATTACATTGTTTGGTGAACTTTTAAGTATCAACCTTTCAACAGTCCTGTACTGTAGGCTTAGCTAGACACCGTCACAAGTTCATCAACACTCTTTCCATACAACCCTAATTCCCTTAGGAGAGACATAGATCCACAGTATAAGCCATTAACTATTTTCAAGATCAGATGCTGGGAATTTTCCATTTGAAAGAATGAAACCTAAGTTCAACTTGGACTCTGGAAACCAGCTACTAGATACCAAGTGATTAGGTTAAACCTTTGATTGTGCTTTTTTTCATCTTATAGGAAAATGTTCCATTAATCAATTTTTATTCATGGGGTTTATTAACACTCTTTGCAAGCAGCAAAAAGGCTTTTCAGACAAGCTTCACAGTCTGATCTTGGTCACAATCTATTTAAATCATTTTGGTTGTCCTCTGTGTTTTATTCATTTGAGGCATTCTGGCTGGAGAGTAGCTATCCATAAAGGCTGATTTGGTTTTCCTGTATTGCCAGGGAGCAGGATAACGTCTGTCCCTTGGACAAAAATACGGAATATAAATGAAATAGTCCTAACCAAAGCTTTATAGGAAAAACAAAATGGAGATGCTGGACAATGCTCTTTTGCAGAGTTTTTTTTATGATAACCATAAAAACAAAGGAAACCTCTTCTTGAAATTTGGAGGCAAGAGATCCAAGGCCACTGAAATGTCCCTCTCAGTTGAAATTGGCTTGATATACTAGAAACCTGGTCTGCAAAGGCAGAATGTGGTAGAATAGATGTTGTCAAAGCCAATTGCAGGAAAGAAGGGAACCTCATTTTCAGCTATTTCCAATAGAGTTGCACCAAAATGTTATTCTGCATTTTTAAGCATTCTTAATTCACTCATGGGAAAAAAAACTGTATATAAACTTTTTAATTCAAAATTTTGTGGCTTTTTAATGCAATCCTCCATGATTATGTGCAACAGTTTTTGCATTTATATTAGCTACAACATGGTAAAAAAAAACATATGGGTCAATGTCTTTCATCATACAACCTGCTCTCCAGCAATTTGCAGATTCAATGACTGCAAAATTGAGAAGAAACCTTTCAAGGTTTTTTCCAGACCTGTAGATTAGGTGAGGCTACAATATCCAAGAGACCTAGAACAAAAAACAAACACCTTCCCCTATCTCCCGATATACTATCCCAATAAATTTGAGAATAAGGTAAATGATTACCGTAAGTAGAAGCTCTTTTACAGGGGGAGAAAACTATTGATAAACAAGGTGGGGTTTTTAAGCCCAGTATTATGTAAGAACTCCCAAATATAGGAAAACATGCATATAGGATGCAGGCAAATTTAATGATAAAAATAATTTTCTCTTCATCATCTTGTTCCTTCTCTGCACTGTGTTCAGCAGAAAAAAAGCAGCTACATATCAGAGGATACCATATACCGTAGTTTTTGCCTTCAGATACATTCCTTTTGAGACAACTGGTTTCCTCTTCTCTACTTCAGATATATACGATTTGCAATATAATTAGAGCTTTTATTTTTACACATTCTCAACCAATGCTTAACAAGCAAATGGACAATCAACACTGCTATCCAAAATTCAGCACAATTTCACACCATTTCCATGTGGACTAAGAGAAGCTGATTTGAATAGCACCATAGCACTATTTCTCGACATTTTTTTGGCAGAAAGAACCTGTCACATCACAATGAGCCTATGCACAGGACTTAGCAATGGCTGCTTCCTTCTGAGTTTTTTTTAAAATTACCCTTGAATTTAAATACCTTGCATGGAAACAAGTCATGTTGGAGTAACTTGGATGTGAAGTGCAATTTTGCAAACATCAGAACACAAATATGGACTGGTTCACAAAGCACACAAAGTTATAGAACCATAAGGTTGGAAGGAGCCAGCATCCAGATTAAACTCTCAGCCACCAAGCCTCTGCCTGAATATATATTTTGCTCAATTTTGGCTCAGTATATTGGACAGACCTACTCCACTCATTGTGATTTATCCTGTGAACTGTAGTTAAGTAAATCATGGCTCACTGGTATATAACCTAGGTCATATTCTAGGCAAGGTATAACCATGATAAATAGGCTTCATGCCAGAAAGTATAGCACTGTAAGCAATTCATCAAACTTCCCAAACCCATATCAAACCTAAGAAAATAGAAATAAAAATACTATTTGATTTGTTCAATTGCTGTCCCACCTACAATCCTTTAAATACACCCACATTACTACATTTTGACAAGACTTTTTAATTTATTGCTATGGTTACTATTAAACCAGTATTGGACTGTACTGTAGAGCATTCTTCCAATTTGTTACACTCAGATTAAACATTCCTCCAACAATATGCTTACTAGACTGGACATAAGGTTTTTATTGACTATACTGTTAGCCTTCATCATTTTGATATTGGCTTTTCTGTTCAATTAAAAATGACAGACCAACTTTTGAGAAAATAGATTTTTTTATTAGGTTTTTTTTTTTTAAAGAGATCAAACACTCAAAACATTGAAAGCCCCTTTTCAGATCACAACTAGTGTTTTCCACAAGCATCCTTTTGTTTAGGAGTGATCTGCTCCAACAATAGAAAAAGCCATCCACATCAGGTGGTTTGTGCTGCTCTGGTCAGTTTCAGAGACAACCGCCAATTACAGGATTAGGACCAGGATTTGTGCTATTGGAATGGCATAAGAGGTAAAAACTTGGCAGGACCCCCTCCCCCAACCTATATCATATTATGTTTAAAGACCAAATTAATTTCACAATGGAAGGTTGTACTGAGTAGTGTTCTGAGGATAGCAAGTAAAGCCAAGAATGACTACTGAAAGAGGATAGAGATAAAATCAGAACCAGCCTAGATCACCAGATGTCTTCCAGTAGCTTTAGATATTAACTTTCATTTACGTGTCTAGTCAATAGCAAATGGTTTTTGGAATACCAGTATAAGGTATCTGGAAGGCACACAGAGCCAGGCTATCCCCCCGTGCAAGCATCCATTATCACTAATAATTTGGCAATTCACAAGCCATGTTAAGATATAGTTCTCTATATACATAGGATACTTTGAAGTATAGCATCCCAAGCCTCAATTCAACACTCTCCATTTACTCTAGAAAGAAGAGCATAGTAAGCAGCTAAGGCGGCCACTGATTAAACAGAGGCCTGGCAGAGAAGGCAATGCATAAATCCCATGTACTTATGAGGTTTTTTTTCTTTGCTCTCTCCATCTAGAACTGTTTTGAAAGGTAATTTAAATATGTACTGAAATACTATTGCATTAGGAAGATGTGAATCATTTTGTATCTTGGCAGAAATGATGTGACTCCTCTGTAGCAATGTTCCCTATCCTTTTTTTTTCTTTTGGCACTCTAGAGTGGTTAGCCCTCTGCCTCGGATCGCACCATATATGAACTGGGACAAGTATCATCCAATCATCAGTAGAAGATACAATCAACAATCGCAGGGGACAGAAGACTGCAGTGAAACTTCAGCATGGCGTTTCCTACTTCTTTTCACCTACTCTGCAAAAGCCAGTTATGCACTTAGGAGGAGAAAGGATAGCACTTTGGAAGCCACCTTTATTCCTGAAGCCTTTTAAGTTGGGTGGCCTAAAACAGCCTTTCTTTGTAGTCTAGTTTATCTTGAATGTACAGGTTGGGGAAGGCTAACTTAGATCAATTTTGTTTGAGGCCAAAGAGAGAATTGAGGGTTAGAAACTAAAACTATGGTACTTTGGTATGATTAAGTAAAGTAAATTCAACAGAGTTCAATACATTGTATTTATTTATGGCGACAGATTCTAAAGAATCCAAAGTTCTTATGTCAGGCTTATTGCATGACAGATTTGATAGCTGCAGAACACATTCAAACACAAGTCTAGAAGTGCCATTCATAGTGTCAAACTCTTCAGCATATTCTCATGCACACAAGGAAAACAGCAGTATCACAGCAGATATATCTGGTGCAGCTTCTACTTATATTTCACCACACATCTCTATACAGCAAAAAGTGCTTTAAAAAAGCATCCAGCAAGCCTTTGATTACATGGGAGAACTTTTTTCCCCAAACACAGCATTGATCTGTTTTTTTTTAAAAAGAGGCCATTTTTACTATTTAAATTTTCACCCATCATTTTAGCCAAAAACATTGCTGGCAGCCAGTTGTGCGGTTTTAGTGCAAACCCATTTCCCTCCTCGTAAATGTGAATTATCAAATGGCTGTCAAAGGAGACAGTTTAGAAAAGCAGAGCCTTCTTTCAAGCGGCAAAGGAAACCTAGGACAGCCCCCTTAATCATCAGGCACTGCAGCCATGTTCTCTGCAGAATATGGAAGACTTCACCAGTAGAGATCATCTAAAGCCACCTACCGGTATATATTCAAGAAGTCTATTTACACAGCACTGGATTTATCAAAAATGAGAAGTTTCTCTTAGCTTGTACAACTTGTAAAAAGTGGGTGAAGTTGGGGTAAGTATTGGTCAATTAGTCAACAAATCTTAAACAACTGCCTTACCATCTCAGCTCATTGTCTCTCAGGAAGAGGCAGGATGTTAGCTAGACACAATCCAAGTATATATTTTATTTCTTTTTTTTTTTCATCTGCTCCAACAAGGTACAGTTTGATTGCAGAGAAAACAGATTAGTAAATAAGTCAACCTTCAAAGATACACCATGGAGCATTTTTGTGTATCCCTTACAGCGCAGGTATGTCCAACAGCCAAAATATCTGCTGCCTCAGCTTCCTAAAAAGTATAAACTAATCTGAGCTAATCTGTTATGTTGTAAAATTTCTATGCAATCCAAAAAAATATACAGGAAAGATTATTGTGCTGGGTAAATAATTATTTCAAAACCTAATTTGACAAGACACCAACAATATCTTGGGTACAGTTGTCTACAGCTCTCTCCCTCATCTCCTACTTATTCTACTGTAGCAAGCGTAATACATGAGGAATTTTCTCTAGATCAATGTTTTATAAGCAAAAGCAAGGCAATGGGCCTGTGCAAATCAGATCCGATCCTAATGGGTTTTTTTTTAAATCAGATTTGAATTGTGTTAATCCAATTTGTAAGTTCAATTCAAACAAAGGTCATCTAAATTGGGTCACTTCATCTGATTCAACGCATTAAATCTCGTCCTCAATTTGATGACTTGATTCAATACATCACTGATACCTTGTCAAATTAAGACTATAAAGTGTTGCACAGCCACAACAAGCAGTGTTAAAATGTTTCCTTAGTCAAACATGGAATCAAGTAGGTGGTCACAGACACCCAACAGAAAGAGAAGCACAGTTCTCAAGATACGGTAGTGGGCTATTAGACAGAAAGCTGAGGACTTCTGGGCCAAGGTCTAACTGGTTCTTTCCTTTAACCAGGACAAAGGCTATGCATATATCTTTTTATGTTTTTTGGTCCAGCTCATTTTTACTCTAATACCATTGACAGCCGTAGAGACTATTTAAAGCCTGGGAACTACTGCTCCTTGCATGCAAAAGATATATTGATCCACACAGCAAAATACTGATCTATAGACTTTCCTTTAAGAGGAATTAATGTGTTAAGGGTTTTGGCACTGCACATTAAGTTGAATTCAGGGTAGCTCCTATTTTCTCCGGTAGCTTTCGCAATGAGGGCACATAATCCATCTCATTAGAAATTCTCTATCATTATGAATTGAGCCCCCATTTAGTTCCCCATCCCAACTCTGCGCTAAATGTTAATCAATGCTGCTGGTCCATCAGACAGCAACCATGTTACAGTGGCTGCTGTGGAAAGCCTCTACCTACCTCAATTCCCTTGACAAAAATGAATGTGTGATCCTAAAACCAAAAATTCCTGGCAAACATCCATAACTAAGCTGTCAATATAGATTTCTGCCACTACAAAAAAAATTACAGTATTTCTTTTTTGGTTGCAGGCACTTGTATAAGATTTCTTTGGTCCCTTAAAAGGAATTAACCACTTTGAAATATGTTCAGAAAAAATAGAGTCTGCACAGCCCATAATGCTTCTTGCACTAAGAAAGAAAAAAAAAACAGCTTGCATTTAAGGTAGTGCAGCTCTGCTTTTAACCTAATCCTTTTTCCACCCACCTTACACATTAATTCAAGCATTTTTTTCCTGTAAACATCTCTGGTAATTAGACATATCACTGCACAATTTCCCAGGATTAAGTAGACTTATAATTCCAATGTAGGAGCAAGATACTCAGAGCAAGAGACCTATTTTTTTTTCTTCTGAACACACAGCCTCTGCTCCTTGAGAAGACAAAGACTGGAGCTTTTTTCAGTATTCAGTTGCAGGGGAGCCATGTTGGGTAGGAGTGACTGCAAGGCAGAAGAGGTTGCATGTGGGTAACGTAATAGTTGACGTTTATTTCACTGATGTATGGTGCTGGCTGATAATAACAAGTCACATTTGTGACAGTTGGAATTATGTTCCGTTCAGCCAGGACCCTGAGGGCCAACATGGCAATGAGGTTCAGCGTCTGTCGTCTTTCATGTCCCATCAGGCACACCGTACTCTCGTTTACCACTCTGTGTAAGGTCATCAGGCAATCATACCTTTTGCTTTCCATCCCTACAAAGTGACTTTGGAGGTAAGACTCCAACTTTCGTTGCTGTTCCCCAATGTCAGGAAAGTCTATAAAAAACCTCGAACACATGTACCTCTGCAAGGCTTTCATGTCAACTTCTGATTTAGGTTGAAATCCCCTCACGAGGAGGTTGCAGTACTTCAGAAGCCCACCTCCTCTGATTTCCTCTGGATTCCTTGTAGCTATGATTCGATTCCTCAGATGATCAATCGCCTCCTCAAAGTCCCCATACATACTCTCCCCAGTGACAGTAGGGTGGAAGTTTGCAGACATTGGATTCTCTGAGCACTCTCCAAAGAGCAATAGTGAGTCTAATATGATCTGGAAAGAATCAACGCTGAACTCGAACTGCCGCCGGAGAGAGTCTACAAATTTGAGTTCCACATTCTTCCCACTGTTGTTTGACAGCGATATAAGGCTCCAGCGGTCAGTGTCATTGCACACTTTCACCAACTTCTGCACATAGGCCTCTTTCAGAGTCATGGGAGTGATCTTATCTTTGTTTACCCCTTCTGGGAGGAAATCCAGGAGACAATCCATCACTACATCTTTTACCAGCTGGAAAATATCCTCGCTTTTCAGATCAACACCAAAAATGAGATCCAGATCTTTATACCCCAGACCGCTGTCCTGGTGCAACACATGACTAGCTGCTGAGCCATTCAACCTCACATTGTGGACAGTGATACCTTGCTTTTCTAGACGACTACGGACCACCTGCAAAAGCAAGGAGAGGCAAATTGGTACAAGTTACAGTAACTAATTGTGTGGAAAGCAGTTTCAAAGGAAAATGTAATGGACTCCAGGCTAGACAATTTGAAATATGTCAATATGTCCTTAGTATTTTTAGAGACAATAAAGAAAATCAAGCCAAAAAGCACAGTGTAAAAGCCAAAGGCAAGACACTCCTATGAACCCAGCTGAATATAATGCCTGGAAATTATCAAATCTATTGTTGTATCACTGTTTGTGATACATAGCAGTTCGGGTGAAGAAATTTTAAATAGAGATAGTATAGAAGAAAAGGTTAACAACTAGCTATACCAATAATCTGCAGACCATTTTTTTACTGAAATTTTTGGCATGACATTTAGATTGATCTTAAGTAGACTTCAGGTTTTGGTCCTGATTTCATTATGCATAGTTACAGGTGAACAGATCTTCCATATACTTTATTGTTCTTCCGTCTTAAGGTGGCATCTGCCCCGACAGGTTCAAAATAAATAGTTGGGCCTTCTCTTATCACCTTTATTTTCAAGGTTGGGAATTCTCCTACAACTTTCTTGTAGCGCAAATGGTAGATATAAACTTGAGGTTATAATTTGAAATGTGGAATAAGTTCGATGTTAGTTAAAAAAATGATGAGTGATATTCCAAATTGCCAAGGCTTAAGGACAAAGAAAATCTGTTCCTTTATGGACTAAGCAACTATACAGCTTTAAACACCTTGTGAAAAAATTAAGTTCAATTATCATGCAGCTGCAATTTTGTTCAAATTTAAATGTAACTCAGGCTGTAAGTACAAACAGAATTATTATATGGGGTTGAGATACCCCCCCCCTCAGTCTTTTAGTTTTCTTCCAAGATCATATCAGTACACTTTCACAAAAATTATGTGAGATATTCAGATGGCTATACTAAAGGAGAAATTGATACACATAAGAGTCATCTTAGTCATCAGGACTAAATCAGGCCACAATGTCAGAAGCAGGCTTCAAACAGAGACGCTTATAATGGAAGCATATGTTATACCCAGTTAGGAAAAAAATATGTTAAGATACAGAGTTTCAGACCACCAAAACGCACAGCATGAGGATTTTATTCTACCAAAAATAATAATTAGCTTTTTAGTAAAGACAGAGGTTTTAATGGTATTAAAGTGAATGAATACCAAGTTACTGTTTTTATTCTTTATATATCTACCTATACAATCTGAAGAAAAAACAGATTATATAGCACAGGGCTTTTCAACCAGTGGTATGGGTACCACCTGTGGTACATTGGCACCTGGTAGGTGGTACGCGACCATCCTAGAAAAGGGGTAGTGGGGGAGGGGAATGAGCTGAACCGGTGGCAGCACCGCACAAGCCTGAGCGAGAGATGGCTGGAGCTGCAGGGCTGTCAGGGCTCAGCGGAAGCGCCAGGATCAGTGCCAGGCTCCAGCTGGAGCTCGGTGCTGATCCTGACGCTTCTGCTGAGCCCAGAAGAAGCGCTGATCAGCTGGAATGTTGCAGCCTCTCCAGGGTCTTGTGATTTACATTCAGATGCTTGGCAACCGATTCATATTTATGACGGTCACAGTGTCCCAGGGTCATGTGAGGTGACCAAAACCTGCTGCAACCACCCAGCAGACGGGGGGAATAAAAACCAAACACCCCCCCACCCCCACTGCCAATCCTCAACAGAAATGCTCACAACAATGAAAACCTCGGACAGGAGGAAAAGCGCCACCAGGTGGGCAGGCAGGTGTCTTGCTCGGCTGTGCCTTGGGGGACACTTTTTTTCAGTGCCATTGTAACTTCAAACAGTCACTAAGTTGAGGACTACCTGTATTTTATCACTTTTTTCCTTTTTTGGGGGGGGGTCATCAAGTTTTTGACACCTTGCTAGGTGACTGGTGGTACTCGGATATTGCCATATCCTAAAAGTGGTACAATGGGTGAAAAGGTTGAAAAGCCCTGATATAGCAACCATACAAATTTAACACAAATTGATTTAAATGTCCTCAGGGAGGTTTTTTTCTCTGATTCACTACTACCACACATTTGAAAGCTGGATAATTTAATATTAGAAAAATAAAGCTTACAGAAGACGGCTGTTTGCCCAGAATACTGGTCAATTTGTATAGCTACAGTATACCATTAGCCACCTTGCAGAATAGACACATTAAATATTCCTTACCTCTTTTGGTTTAGAGGCAAGACATATCAGGCATTAGAACAGTAACTGCCTTTTTAGGTTATGTGCTCCAGAGTAGCGAACTCTGTATTTAGCGCTGACTAATATTTTCTGGTCAGAGTCAATCATTTCTGTTTACAGTACAGTGAATTGCTATATGCCATTTAGTAATTTTATGGTTTTAGAAGTATATGAAGACTAGCCCTCATTTCCCTTTAAGTACACTTGTCCCTTTGCATGTTACTACAGCATTGTTCTGCAAAGTTGCAAGGTTTTTCATAATAGGACTTGCAGCAAGACACATTTCATCCAATTAATTGGACAGATTTAAGAGATGCATTGGGAGGTCATTATCAATTTTTCTAATATTGCTGACGTGATCAAGTTTGTGTGTGCATAAATACTTGTGGACTACTCTAGCTAAATCAGAAAGCAGATCCCGGCTAATTTGTCGGTGTCCTTGTGTAGTATAATTGAATAAACAATCTATTACTTTTACATGTATTACTTTGAAGCAATTCAACTTCATTAAGCAACTTACTGAAAAAAGAAGAATGTGCTTTTCTATTAGAATATTTAAATCTCACTGGTTAATGGGGATACTTCCAAAAGTTATCTGATTAAGATAACTTGCCGAATTTATTTCAGTTGTACAAGCAGGTTATTAAAAAAAAGTCAGGAAGGCACAGAGTTCTTCATATTTGCATCCAGGGATTGAAGTAGGAAAAAAGTGGATTATATTCTTCCTTTTTGTATTGATTTTAAAAAGCCACCTTGACACCTTGAGTACCATTGTTGCTATAATAATTTGTTGTCAAAGCTATAACTTTATATACTGTACCAGTGTATAATCTCTTCAAGGCATCACATTTAAAATAGGTTTAAAATGGCAAAACTCCTAGCCAGCGTATATACAAAGACTGCACCATTGTTTATTTGGATAGTGCTGTTTATGCTTGAGAGAGAAAATTAGAATCTATCGGCTGAAAATCTCAGTCCAATCTGTCACTGTTTAACATCTTACCTTCTAAAACCTCTTCATCAGCATCAATGCTATCTCCAACTGCTGTCCTACACCCTACAAAATTCAATTAATCACCAGCCAAACCCATATCCCACATGCTACCGCTTGTCCTCTGAAATACCTTCATGCCAAATCAGCATTTTTCCATGCTTTGCCAGCCAAGCCTTTATACTGGCTGTTACATGTTCCATATCACACCCACCCTATAGTCATAGCTATATTCAACTACTTTTGCCCTGTATGCCACTTCTATGTTCTTCATACTTCCACTGCCAATGATATAATTCAGAAAAAAATAGCAAAGGCTCCTCAAACAGGTGCTGGTAGCTAGCCTTTACCCATCAAAAATATTGCTTCATAATCCAAAGATAGTTCACCAGATAATTTAAGGTAGAATGGCAGAGATGGGACACCACCCAGTTCTTGAATAAGACTGACTACTCTGTTTAGCTAGTCAAACAAAGGACTAAATGTGTGTAAGCATATGCCAGTCTTATTCTTAACTTTTGCTTTAAAAATTTTTATGGCTGCACATTTTGGAAATTACCACAATGCAAACTTAGGTAATCTGTAAGGAAGCTGATAATTAAATATCTAGAAACGGAATACTGTATTCTAAAAAATATGGAATGTTCTTTTTTCTTCCATTCTTCCATGTCAAATCTCCTCCTGGACTGAATGCCATGTTAAGAGAGATTCAGCCTGCTTTGGTGGTATCAAGAAGTTTCTCTCTCTAGATTGACATTTTTGAAAACATTAGCTTGGCTTCTGTGTTCAGAGAATAAAGCACTAGGGATACTAGAATTGTCTGGCAGTCATTGTGACTCTCCTTTTTTCAGAATTTCAAGTTCTGCAGTGCCTATTTATTTATTCATCAGATTTCTACACTGCCCATCTCACCTAAATGACTGGGAGGCTTACAATAAAAGACAATGTCTAATTAATGACTGAAGCAAGTATAAAACTAGCACAAAAACACTAACATGAATGTCTTTATTGCATTCCTAACTCATTTTCTCTCCAGAAGCTCAAGATAGCACACATAGCACTTCCTTGTGCATGCCCCCCCCCAAATACAACTAAGTAGGATAGACTGAACTAAGATACGATGACTACTCTTAGTACCAGCTAATAACTTCCCATGTCTAAGGATGGATTTTAACCTAGATATATTTTCCATGCACACATTTTACAGTTGGAGTATGTGATTCAAAAGATAGAACTGGAAAATCTTTGTATGAAAGAACTGCCCTAATTTAGAGTTCGGCAATACAATTAGTACAGAATGTGTAATTTTTATATAATACATTATGTGAGTACAAGCATGCACTTCCCATGGAAACACTTCAGCTCCTGGCAATTACTGTAGTGAAAGGCAGCAAGTTTTGTTCAATGCTTTAAAAAAATAGAACCCAATGTGCCTTCTTGTTACATCTGAGTCACTGCAGAGGAATGAAGCCACCTCCCATATAAAATGAATATGCAAGCAGCTTTTTGGCACTACATTAGTGTCTACTAAGCAGTGTTGCTACTTTATAGACAAACAAATCCTTAGTAATTTGTGGCAGTGATGACACAGAGCCGAGTAGGCTATTTAAGGGCAAATGGACTGTACTGGAAGCAGTTGGTCCAGGTTCTCAATGGGCAGAGATAATAAGCATCAAGTATAAATTTGTGTCCCTGTGTACCCAGGGAAGTCTACTTCCAATGAAGTATAGAAAGAGTATTCCAAAGTAATGTATATGTTAATGAACATGGATTTGTATTATGTCACAAAGGTATGTAATCTCTAGGT